AAAAAAAAAAAAAAAAGAAGGAAAACAGAAAGAATTGAAATGTCCATCCACATTTGTACAACAGGTGGATCTATTACTGTCTGTTAAGATAAATACTGTGCAACAGTGAAAAGGAATGAGTCACATCATGTCTAGCAATATAGATGAATCTCAGAAACATACTGAAGGGGCTCAGCGGTAGAGCACTCACCTAGCACATGTAAGGCACTGGGTTTGATCCTCAATACCACATAAAAATAAATAAATAAAATAAAGGTATTGTGTACAACTATAACTAAAGCAAAAAATACTAAAAAAAAAAAAACTTAATAGAAAAGGCAAGCTAAAAAATTACAGATATCAGATATTGTGGTATTTAAACAACATTTATATGTACACGCTATTTGCATATGTAAATATATATTCACATGTATATGTATATATATGTGTGTATGTGTTTATACACACACATATATGGTAAAGTTTTTTGGGTTTTCTTTTAAATAAGAGAGTGAGTTATTCGAAATTCAGGTTAGGACGACTTACAAGAGGGATCTTCAAAAAAATTGGTAGTTTCCACCTAGTTTGGGAGGATGGTACCTGGATGTTCGTTTTTATATTTATTTATTTATTTATTTATTTTATTTTTTTGGTACCAGGAATTGAACCCACAGGCACTTAACCACTGAGCCACATCCCCAGCCTGTTTTATTTTGATACAGGGCTCAGCCTCCTGAGTCTCTGGGATTACAGGCGTGTGCCACCGCACCTGGCTTCAGTATCCTTTAAGTTGTATCTTTATATTGTATTTACCCTCCTTTGTGTATTTTTAAATATCTTTTTTTAGTTGGACACAATACCTTTATTTTTATTTATTTATTTATTTATATGTGGTGCTGAGGATTTAACCCAGTGTCTTGCACGAGCTAGGCGAGCACTCTGCTGTTGAGCCACAACCTCAGACCTGTGTATTTGCCTTCTTAAAAAGGCATTCGGTCGTATGATTTTTTAAACGTAAAATATGTGACAAAACATATAAGGAAAGTGAAGTCTTCCTCCCCTAGAGTCAGTCCTCCCAGTTTCCCTTTCCCCAGGTTACCATTTAAATCCCTTCAGAATGTCTTCGTACACCTCAGCTCTTGGAGGTGCCCTCTTCCTTCCTTGACTTCAAGAATCTCCATCCCTGTTCTCCCTGCTTTCCTTTTTTAGCCCAGGCAGAAGGAGAAGAAGAGGAGGAAGGGGAGGAGGAGGGTTCGCTGATTGAGATTGCAGAGGAGGCTGACCTGATTCAAGCAGACCGGGTGATTGAGGAGGAAGAGGTGGTGAGGCCCCGGCGACGGAAGAAGGAAGAGAATGGGCCAGACCAGGAGTTGGCTAAAATGCTTTTGGCCATGAGGCTAGACCACCATGGCTCCGGAACTACAGCTGGACAGGAGCAAGCTACAGGAGAGTGGAAGGTAAACTTACTTTGTTCCATGAAAGTTTCAATGAGAAACATGTTATTACTGCCAAATGGGCATGGTGAAGACTCTGCTGGAACAGGCCTGAGAGTATTCTGACCATTCCTGTCTTTCCCAGCTTCTATTACTTTACTTGGTCCTCACAGTTAGCTAATGTACCCATTTTGCTACCTAACCCTGGCCTAAATCCCAAGGGTATAAAAATTATGGTTCAGAGGGGTGCTGGCAAGAAGTACCTACGTAGAAAGACAAGAAGCAGGTAACCAAGTGCTTCTCTGGAACTTACAGAAGAATGTAGTATATATGAGTCAAATCAAACACAGTCTTAGTGCCTCGTGCCTATCTTCTCAATCACAAAATCTAAGGACATTCATTACATTTCTAGAGGCTTAAAGTAAATCCTTCAGGCTACATGGAATGCTTATTCTTCTTTCAGCTTGGAATTTGACATTTCTCTTAAAGCCAGAGTGGTATAAGTGCCCATACATTTCCATGTAGACCTTCTCCTGTTGGTGGAACCCAGTGGTCCTCATATTGCAGCAGAGGACTGGGTACTCACAATGCCAATTTGTGATCCCCAACCACAATTTAAGGGACTTTTTTAAAAGAGCAACTCTGGATGCAGTTTTTCACCTGAATGCCGGCTTTGCACCTGATGTCCTAATTCAGTTCAGGTGGTGGGTGGCATCATGATCTCAATCCTTGGAAGCATGTATTGAGTATATTTCTGCCATACAGCTTCTGGAGATGGGGATTTTTAATGTGGTAACATTCTTCTCACATGCCAATCCTTCTAAAGGCTCATGGCAGAGCTAGAGGGGAGCACTTTCTCAAACAGTGCCTTTCACCCACTTGTTAAAGGTAATGTGATGGCATTAGGACCACTTTAGCAGGCCCTATGCCAAGCCCTATACTAAACAGCAAATGCTAGACACTGATAGCATCCAATGAGGAAGCCCTGCCCCCACTACTTTCATGACAAACACATTTTAGGAATGAGAAATAGAGAAGAATCAAAAGAGATTTGATGGGCTGGAGTTGTGGCTCAGTGGTAGAGAGTTTCCCTAGCATCCATGAGGCACTGGGTTCAATCCCCAGGACCACATAAAAAGTGAACAAATAAAATAAAGGTATTGTGTCCACCTACAACTTAAAAAAAAAAAATTAAAGATATTTGGTGATAACAGTGCTGGTACTATTGTAAGTTTTTTCCATGTAAGGACCTCCAGAGATGTGCTATTAGTCTTCCCATTTTATTAAGGGAGATTCTGAGACACATAGGAGTTGAGTAACCTGCCCTGGGGCCCACAATCTAATAATAGGTAGAGCCCGGGCATTCTGGCCCTGGAGTCCTTGTTTAGCCAGTCTGTGGTAGGAAAGCTGTTGTGAGAATGTGAGACACTTGAAGTCTATCAGAGGTGTCAGCCCATTTTCTTACATGCTGGGGCTCCCATGTTGGGCTTAGAACTGGGCTTGCCTCTGCTCAGATGGTACCCTGCCTGGTATTGATGTCTATAGACCCAGCGTAACCAGAAAAAGAAAATGAAGAAGAAAGTGAAGGTTGAACTTCGCAAACTGAACACCATGACTGAGGCCGAGGCCAATGCGATCCAGGATGTCTGGCAGCTGGACCTGAATTCTCGCTGGCAGCTATATAGGTACTGTGCCCCATGCCCAGCTGGCCCATGTCATTTCCCCAGGGAATTCCTTTTCTGTTCCCAGAATACTCTCAAAGACCTTCAACAATGTTAACTAATGACTGAGTACCACCACTGAACTGAGGGCTAGGGATGTAGTCATGGGATAGGAGATACTTGCTCTGTCATCATGTTCAGAACATAATTTCACAAGTAAAAAACTATACATGGCATAAATACTAGGAAAAATGAATAGAGAGTACTGAGAATATTATATGGGATCTTAGCTGGTTTGAGATATCCAGGAAATTGACATTGGAGGCAAAATCTGAAAGATGAACAGACATGATCAGGGCAAAGGGGAGCAGGTGAGGTTGAGGGGACCACGTAGGGAAAGGCCCTGAGCTAAGAGGAAGAATGGCTATTTGAGAAATGGAATAGCTTTTGCACAGAGAAAGAGATGTCAAGTGAGTCTGAGGTGTGGACAGGGGTCAGACTTATCAGGACGAAGTATTCTATGCAAAATTAAGGGAGGGCCGGAATGTGATAGGGAGAACCTATGAGAAATTCTTCCTGAAACTTTTGAAGTCCTTTATTTTCTTTCCAATAGTTAGCCCTTTTTCTTTCTTTGTGGTATTGGGGATTGAACCAGGGCCTCACATATGAGACAAGCGCCCTACCATTGAGCAACATCCCCAGCCTTTTAAAAATTGTTATTGTGAGAATGAGTCTAAGTTGCCAGGCTAGCCTCGAAATCCTCCTGCTTTAGCCTCTCAAGTAGCTAGGATTACAGATGTGTGCCACTGTGCCCAGCTAACATTTGTTCTTTATCACACTCCCTTTCTTAGCTCTTGACCACCCTACACATCTTTTGGGGGGCATTTTGGACTCCTCTATATCTGGTTGTCTGACTCTCTTTTTCTCTCACACTCATTTACCTAGAAACTCCTCATAGGTCTTGGGTTCACTTCATACATTGGCACATGAAGGGGGTTCCTGTACATTCTCATGGCCTCTTTTCCCTGATTGATCCATTCTCCAGGCTGTGGCTACAGATGTATCAGGCTGACACTCGCCGGAAGATTCTCAACTATGAACGCCAGTACCGCACATCAGCAGAGAGAATGGCTGAGCTGAGACTCCAGGAAGACCTGCATATCCTTAAAGATGCCCAGGTTGTTGGCATGACAACCACAGGTGAGAAAACGTGGGGACATTAAAGCTGTTCCGGCCAAGCTCCATTCTGGTACCCAGATCCTATCAGAGTATCCGAGGCAGGTAAAGAGAGCTTCTTTAATAGGTTAGAGGAAAAATACCATGAAAAGCTATTGAAAACAACCCATATTTTGGGACCGCTTAGTGAAATTCTCTCTTGATGAGTTTGCAACTCCCAACAATGACAACATGGGTACGAGGATCTGGACCACCCAGTGCTCATTCTCTTATTCAGTGGTCATCTCAGCCCTAGAGGACATAGAAGGACACAAGGAGATTCCGAGAGACCCAGTGGCCCTGTGGATCCTGTACCTCAGCTTAGAGGAACCTCTTGGCTTATCCTTATTCCAGGTGCTGCAAAATACCGCCAGATCCTACAGAAGGTGGAGCCTCGAATTGTCATTGTGGAAGAGGCTGCTGAAGTCCTTGAGGCCCATACCATTGCTACATTGAGCAAAGCTTGCCAGCACCTCATCCTGATTGGGGACCACCAGCAGGTAAGGCAAGAGCTCCTGGAAGATGGACTGCCTCTGTGGGGAGGAATCAAACAGGAAGACTCCCACCTCTCTGTTTAAAGAATTCACAAAGTGGGGCTGGGGTTGTGGCTCAGTGGTAGAGCACGTGCTAGGCGAGTGGGTTCAATCCTCAGCACCACATAAAAATAAAAGGTATTGTGTCCAACTACAACTGAAACAAAATATTTTTTTTAAAAAGAGTCCACAAAGCTAGTTAATGGCTTTTTGTGATTCCTTTTTTTCTTTACTTCCCGTATTCAATTTAAGAACAGGTGCTGTTATATTTGGCATATAGCTTAGCATTAGTATAGTGGCTTCATCCATTCTCTGTACTTTCCTACCCTCCCTTTTAAGTAGACTGTTAGGACAGCAAGTTCCCCAGTCTTCCTGCTTCCATTTTTACTTCCATTTTTATTATCAGACATCCTTTATAAAGGAGCCAAAACAAATATTAAAATTTTAAATCATTGTCATTCTCCAGCTTAAAACCCTCCGTGTTTCCCACTGCACTTCATATTAAAAATCAAGCTTCTTGAAATGGTCTGCAGAGGCCAAGAAAATCAGCCTGCTTTCCTGACTTCTCATTTGCTCACTGTATTCCCTCCCATGGCTTGTTTTTCAAATGACTGAATAACTGACAACTTCCTCCATGCTGGAGACAGCTCAGATGTCACTGTTCAGAGACACATAGTTAAAGAATCCTCACCCTTGGACACTGTTGTCATGTTATCCTTGGTTCTTGTCTTCAGAGCCCTTGTCACTGTTAACCCTTAGCCTGTAAGCACCTAAGAGTGCCTGGCATATAGGAGGTACTTGAAAAACATTTGCTGGATGAATGAATAGTTGGTGAAAATGGTTGCAGTATAGAATTCTCAGCTATGTTTCTTTTCTCAGCTGCGCCCCAGTGCCAACGTGTATGATCTGGCCAAGAACTTCAATCTTGAGGTGTCCCTTTTTGAACGGCTAGTGAAAGTAAACATTCCTTTTGTCCGTCTGAATTACCAGGTGAGAAACCGGTCATCTGTTATTACCAATTACCCAGGAGAATGCCCATGGGAACCTGCCAATTGTCTGAAAGAGAGATCTTATAAAAATGAAACTGGTTTAAGCCGGTGTGGTGGTGCACACCTGTAATCCCAGCGCTTTGGGAGACTGAGACAGGAGGATCACAAGTTCAAAGCCAGCCTCAGCAATGTCAAGGTGCTAAGCAACTCAGTGAGACTCTGTCTCTAAATAAAAAATACAAAATAGGGCTAGGAATGTGGCTCAGTGGTTGAGTGTCCCTGAGTCCAATCCCCAGTACCCACCCCCCCAAAAAAATGGTTTAGTAATGAAATAACTGTCAAACTTATTTTATTTTCTGTTATAAAACACCACAAAGTCACTCTGGCAAGTTTTTGTTGAAGGAGCTGTTTATATTGTGCTCTTTCTCGCTATTTTTTTTTCAAACATTACTTAAAAATTCTCTACCAACCAGAGAAATTGTCCTCTGCCTGTTTCTAATGACATATATGTTATTTCAGCACCGCATGCGCCCTGAAATTGCCCGCCTCTTGACCCCCCACATCTACCAGGATCTGGAGAATCATCCCTCTGTTCTCAAGTATGAGAAGATTAAGG